TCATCCACGGGTGGGCCGCGCAGAAGGACATCACCAAGGCGCGGGCCATCTACGACGCCGTCGGCCGCGAGAAGCGCGAGCCGAGCACCTACGAGGCGATGACGAGGGCATTCCTCGCCGTTGAGCAGAGGGATGGCGCCCAGGGTGTCGTCAGGGAGATGCTGAGCCGGGGATACCCCAGCGCCGTCGTCAACAAGGTCCTCGAGCTGCTGGGCGGCGGGGAAGAGGCCTCGGCCTCGGCTTGAGTTACCACCCCTCTTGACGGGGGGAGCGACGAGATTTTTTTTTTTTTTTGCCTCACTTCGCTTCAACAATTTTTCTTTTGTGACCTGCCTTTTTGTTTGGTCGTTTTACTCTCCCATCCGACTAATATGATACCCGGGGGCTTGATTGAGGTTGCATTGAATGGAGAAGAAAGGTTTTGGAATTCGGGTTCGGGTCGATCGATGGGAGTGCGCATGCATGTTTTCATCCGTTATCACTTTTGCCCTTGCGCACCTGTTATTTGCTTTCCTACCTAGTTCTACTTTTTTTTTTCCTTTGTCGAGACATACAACTGCAGCTAACGGCGTCTGAGGATCAAAGAAGGCGGTATATTGGATCTGAGGATCTCATTTTGTTTTCATTTCCTTGTTCATTTTCCTTTTTCTCATACAAAACGGGGTTGGTCGGTCAGGAATGGGAAGGACTTCGTGTACAAAAAGGATATATCCCCTGGCTAGGGCCGCGAATGGCAGCTGGGAAGGCAAACATCACACTCTACTCTGCATTGAGAAAGAAATCTCGGGCGGTTTGATATATTACTATACAGCATAGAAAAAGGGGAAGTAAACCGGTCCTCTTGGGGCTGTATTGAATAGAACTATTTCGAGATGGACATTATGTTTTTGTTAGTGAACGTGAGACTGCTTGTGTCTGTGTGTGTGTGTCTTAGCCGCTGCTATTCTCATTATGGCCGTGACTGAATCTAATTCCATCGTCCATCGTCCTCTCGGACATTTCGGTAATGTTAGGTCGCTTCCAGTTGCGATGATGTCGGTGTTGGCGTTGCGTCTCGTCTCCGGTTGCATGAGAATGTGTGGCTGACTAAGAATACTGGCGCACCACCAATAATTTATGCCTCCAAGGTGTTTCATCAAGCTCAGGATATACGACAATGAACCCTCACTCAACTCACTCATTCCAAAAGAAAATAAAAAGTCTCAAGACCTAATTCAACCCCCACATTCCTTTCGAGTATCAAACAGTCGGAATCTATACGAAGCCCTCCCTCGATCAACTAGCAACACTATTCATAAAGGGGTAAACCAAACAATCCAACAAAAATGCGCATCTTAGTCCTCCTCTCCCTCCTCTCCATCGCCCTCCTCACCCAGCGCACGGCGAACCACCACTCCACGCCGCCCCCACACGCCTCCGTTCTCCATACGACGGCCTACGCTCTCGACGCGGGCGTGCTGACCAACGTGGCGTGCGCCGTGGGCGCGTACGCGATGGGCTACGTCCCCGTGGGCATGGAGACTGAGGCCTGCGTGCCGTGGAGTGTCGCGGCCGGGGCGCTGACGGCGAGGATCCATGTCTTCTCGGTCGGGGGGTGGGGCAAGGAGGAGAGGGCGTACGCGTGGGAGCTGGGGCAGAAGGCGCTGAGCTGGCTTTTCGGGGGCCCGGAGAGGTGGTTTGAGACGTTTGATGGGACCAAGAGCGTGGGAGTGGCCGAGCCGGCCGAGCCGGCCGAGGCGTGAGTGAGGCGTTATCATCTGGCGGATGCTGGGATTGTGTTTGTGGTCTAGGGCTGGCACTGAAGCTGAGGTCGGGGTTGGGGTTGGGTGGGCCGGGTTGCGCCTGGCCGTGATGTGAGTTGTTATCCTTGACCTGTCTGTGTTGTCTAATACCTTGGCTGACTGAGTCAAAGTCTGTCCTTGGGCTGGATGTGAAGACGACTTTGGTTCGAATTGAGGAGGATTGGCGCTTATCTAGCCGGTTGGAATCTTATACGTGTATGTACTTGTAGGATACGGAAGCAGCCACAGCTGCGGCCAATGCAAGATATTGTCCCCGCAGACCTCTCATGAACTCGTTCAAGTAGTGTATTATGCCCCAAAGACGCTTGGATAGACAACCCCTGGAGAAAGCAACCCCACCAACTACTACCTCTGGACAAAAAGTTCGCAGCAAACAATGGCTCGCGCCGGTAAAACAGATCACCCCAAGTTAAACTCGCTAGCCCCCAACTTGCCCATCATCCTCCCCATCCGCATGAATGCCTCCTGTCCACCGACAACCTCCTCCCCAGCATCCTCCCTCCCCCTCTTCGAACCGGCCGTGGGGCCATCTCTCCCCGCCTTCTTCGCCCTCCCGGCCTTCGAGGCCTTCCTCTCGATCCCGTTCCCGATGCCGCCTGGCGCCTCCCTCAGGCAGAAGCTCTTCGCCAAGTGTCCCAGGTGCAGCTGCGTGAGGTCGAAGAATCCTCTCTCCTCCTTCGTGTGCGTCGCGTACGCGCGGATGTGCGACTTGAACCCGTTCCGGCCTAGGTCGAGACGCTTCCTGTCTTCCAGGAGCCGCTGCTCGAGGTGGAGCTGGAGGTTCTCCGCCTTCTCCGTGTAGGACTGCTTCTCCTCGACCTTGGCGTGCGTCTCGAAGGGGAGTTCCATGGGTATTGAGAGGCCGTTTTGGAGGACGGTGTCGTAGTTCTGGGCGGTGGGGGTCCCCGAGTTGGACGCCATGAGGGACACGTAGCCCTCCTCGCAGCCGGGCGTGAGGAAGATTACGGACTTTCCGGGCCGGCCCGCACGGGCTGTGCGACCAATCCTGTGGATGTGGTCCTCGATGCTGAAGGCGGGGTCCAGTTCGACGACTACGTCGACGGAGGGGATGTCGAGTCCGCGGGAGGAGATGTCCGTCGTGATGAGGACGGTGGGGTCCTTGCAATCAGAGAATGATCGTAACGTCGCCGTTCGGACAGGCTGCGGGAGAGAGCCGTGGAGCCTGTGGAGCATGATGTCCTTGTTTGCGGCCGAGGTGATATACGCCGCGTGGGCGACGGTGTTGACAGTGAGGGAGGTTGGGTTCTCGGACGACTTCTCCCTGGCTGGGGGCCCCCTGAGCATCTCGTAGTGGAAGTTGACCGAGTCCGCGCAGGATATGAAGATGATGAGCTTCATAACCGATCCCTTGCGCGCAAAGACGGATTTTAGATAGGATATTAGTGTGACGAACCGCAGCTTCGACGGTGTGACGATGTAGGACATCTTGAGCTGTGCGGGCGCCGAGAAGGTCGACTCCTGCGCCTTGCGCTCAACCGCGTCCTCCTTGGGCGCCTCGACGTGGATGGCGTCCTTCAAACTCATGTCCCCCAGCTTTTGCACGCTCATCTTCATCGTGGCCGAGCATAGAACAGTGATCCGGCGATCGGGGAGGTTCGCGAGAGACACGCCGTCGTACGTCTGAGGCGCCACCTCGGCCTTTCCGAGCTGGGTTATGAGCTTCTGGATGTCGTCCTCGAACCCAAGCTCCATGAGCCTATCGCCCTCGTCGAGCACGAGCCACCGCACCGTGCTCAGCTTCAGCACCTGAGTGTTCTGGAGGTGGTCGGTCAGGCGACCGGGGGTGGCGACCAGGAAGTTGACACCCTTTCGTATCCTCGCCTTCTCCGACTTCTTGGACTCGCCACCGATGACGGGCGATGCCACGAGCCAGGGTGTCGCCCTCAGGAGTTGGCACATGACGGCATACACCTGCTTGGCCAGCTCTCTCGTCGGTGTGAGGATGATGCCGAAGATGCCCGAGTTACGGTGGATCTTGGAGTCTTGACTGAGGGCCATGACCCGGTGTAGCATCGGTAGTACGTACGCCATCGTCTTTCCCGAACCTGTCTCGGCCTGGATGAAGGCGTCGCTCGTCGAGTTCACTAGGAGGGGGATGGATGTCTTCTGGATCGCCGTCGGCTTGTCGAGCTTGAGCTTTTCGAGCTCGGCGACTAGCCTGTCGGATAGGCCTAACCCCTTGAACGAGTTCTCTGCCAGGGGCGCGTTCGAAGGTTCCGCCGCCTCTTTCTCCACCTCGGCCTCCTCGAAGTTGGTGACCGCCTTAGGGTTGAAAGAGAAGAGACTCGACGTTATTTCTCGCGGCTGTCCCGGCTTGCCACCTCCCGGGCGCCCACCCGCTTTAGGCGCGGATGGCTGGTCTACCCTTATGCGCTTCACCGGCCTCTCGTAGCCGGCATCTACATTCCCGTCGTCGCCATCTCGACTCTTCCTCCCCTCCTTTGCCGACGATGAGCTTGCCGACGCCTGGAGCGACTTTTGCGCCTTGACACGATCTCGCCAGCGGCCGCCTGTGATTTTGGCCCTGGGTTTCGGCGCAACAACATCCATACCCAGGTCAAAATTTAGGATCATGCCATCGTCCGCCATTGTGTCTCTCGTTTGCCGAGCCGTTCGATAGATTTGCTTGCTGGTGCTGGACCGCCGATTTTGGCGGGGACCAAAAGGTTGAAGTTATTTTTCAAAATTACTTATCGCGATAAGATTAGATAAGCGATACATTCCCAAGCCACCACAAGACAACACCCCGCATCGGGGCCTGTCATTTGCTGTTAAGCAAGATGAAGAAAGCCGAAGTCAACTAATCAGAAGCTCACAATTATTAGTAATTTAAACTTAGCTTGATCGAAGAGAGACGCCGATACAGAGATACCTGGGACCTGACCCCCAATGAAGTAATAATGTGGCCGACTAGAGGTATTACGGTCCAGATCCGTCCGCTCTTGCTGGTATCTCCATGAACTGTCACAGTGACCAGAATCCCAAGTGGCGCCTTCTCTCCCGGTGCTAGCTTCGCTTCACAGCGTAACATATATAGTATCAGCATCATGGCGCTGTGCGACCTGCGTAGTTGGAAACTGGGGAATCCAGCCTCAGTCTTATGTGGAATATGAGAGAGAAAAAAAAAAGTGACTGACAAAGGGCAGAGAATGAAAACAGAACGAAAAAAAATATACGCGAGCGACGCAGGACTCGAACCTGCAACCTTTGCTTGCGCTCCACTCCGAGGATAGGAGAGCAACGCGCTACCATTGCGCCAGCCGCCCGTGTTGCTGATTGATAGTATGAAACGCAGTTAGAACGCTCCATACACCTTCCAGGTTTCCCCGCTACTACGTGAAGTATCATGAACCATCGTAGACAAGAAGTAACTCTATTCCCACTAGGAGTGCACCGAAGTGCGATATATTGCACCATACACGGCGTCCTAGATATGCCCTATCTGTGTCTATGGGTCCTCTAGACATCAGTCTAAGCTGTGACCGAAATTTTCGCTGAATTCTCCATGGCCAAATGGTTAAGGCGTCCGACTGTTAATCGGAAGATTCCAAGTTCGACCCTTGGTGGGGAAGTTTCTCTTGATCGCATACCCCTTTTTTGGAGGTATCCCTTTTGTTTTTTGTTCATACCTTTTGAGAATGTGCGGTTCTCGTTTTATTTCCAATACACTCCATGTCGTATGGTCATCATCAATCCATCTTCGTTCATCCTTTTCCTCTAATATTACACCCGGGGTATTCCATAGCGCCAAACAAGGAAAGCCTTCCTCCCGCAAAACCTCAGAGATTCTTCAAGTTGTGGGCTTTGAACTTCTTGCTCGCCCGATCAGCCGCCCGGTAAAGGAACTGATCCCCATGAATCTCGAAAATAAAGTCTTCCGTCCCCGCGCCTTCACCCGCCGTCTTCCCGTCGGCCCCTTCCCCTTCGCCTTCCCCTCCTTCCGCCCTCCTTTTCTCGACCGGCACAACGACCCGAAACATGGTTCCTTCCTTGGGTACCGTCTTGATCTTATTCCGCCTCGTGATAATCTCAAAGACGAATCGTGTATCCTTGATGACGATCCCCTTGACACCCACCCGGCTCACGCACCCGCTCCTCGAGACCTCCACCTCCGCCCCATGGAACTCTGCGCTCGTAAGCTTCTGCGCAGTCTCTGGCCCGCCCCTGTGGATGTCATTCCCTAGCACCTCCCGTATATACCCTAGCCAGAGGTCATGGAGCGGCTCGAAGAGGGCGTACTTGGCCTGGTCGCGTGGCACATCGTAGAGCCCTAGTCGGCGGCGCTCGCGCGCGGAGAGTGGCTTCGGTTTTTGCTTGCTCTTCTGCTTCTCGGCCTGGCGCGCCTTGCGGCGGGCGTCGCGGGCGTTCGTGGGAGGTGGAGAGGAGGGGCGGAGGAGCAGGGGTCTGTATTGGATTTTTTCCGTGAAGATGCGGCTCGCGCTGTCGGGAGAGTGGGCCCGGGCTAGGAGCCCCTGGGTGATGGGCTGGGTTGAGCTGCTCGTCATAGTAATAAGGAGGGCGTTCCCATTACGGGGTGGACGTGGCGGTGAATGTGCGTGGACGGTTTGGCTGGCTGCTAGTGGAAAGGTGGTGGAAGGCGTAGATATCAGTGAAATGTCGAGTAATAACGTCCGTACAACGTAGGATCCATCATTAATCCCTAACCATGAGGAGCTGCCCCACATTTCACATGCTCCCCACCCCATGTACCAGCGAAAGCGTAGTGCCGATTCGCCTCTCCGCATTTTTGGCCATGCGCGACAACCACCTCTCCATTCTCGGCTTAGATCGGGTCGCGCCGTAATACCCTTTTCCCTTTTCCTTTCGCACTTCTCCCCTTGGGCCACCACTCTCTTCCTCGGTGATCCAAGTGCCCGTTCTCGTCTACACTCTCACCACCGCGCCAATTGGACCATGGAACTCGGCGACTACCTGCTTCCTTTCAGCTAATAGCCCGAGAGAGCTTAGCTTGCCACTGTTTCTAACCCCACGATCCCTCGGCCCTTGCCACGCACCCTCCCTCACACCCTGCTGCACCTCGGCAATGGCCTCAGACAACGACAGCACAGCCGACGCGGCCCCGGACCTCCAAATCCGAGGCGATGAAATCACCCTCCAGCCAAGCGGGCTCGTCGAGCCCAAGGAGCGCGAGAAAGAGCATGCTCTCATGAAGAATGCCGTGCGCTTCCGCTCTGACCCTCTACAGTAAGAGATATTCCCCCTCAGCTAGGCTATGCGATCGCATAGTTCTGACCTCCCTCGCCCCAATGTAGATTCCTCCGAGAAGTCTCGCTTTACGTTTCCGGAAAGGGATGGCGCGCATACGACAACATCATCGGCCAGCCCATGTTCTACCAGGGCTTCTCCGAGAACATGAAGAACCTCGTCCTCTCCGCGCCCCTCCTCCAGTCCCGCATCGCCGAGCTAGCCGAAAAGCGCATCGCTGTCGAGGAGAAGGAAGGCCTCCTGAACAAGGACGACCCGAATTACGCACTCAAGCGTGTGCGCCGCCGCTCCGAACTCGAGGCGGGGATCCAGCAGGTGGCCGACAAGCTCACGGACAACATGATTTGCAAGTTCGAGAGCAAGGCCTTCATCAGGGGCGCGTATTATCTGTGCACGCAACTGACCCTCCGCGCCTACCACCAGGGCATCCACGTGTCGAGCGAGGAGGTCGTGCGCCTGAGGAGGGTGGCAGAGATTGCACAGAAGAAGAAGCAGAGCATCGTATTCCTACCATGCCACAGGTCGCACGTCGACTACGTCTCCCTCCAGGTTATATGTTACAGGCTGGGACTCTCGCTCCCGACCGTCGTGGCGGGCGATAACCTCAACTTCCCCATCGTGGGCTCCTTCTTGCAGCATGCGGGTGCGATGTGGATCCGACGGTCGTTTGGCGACGATCCGCTTTACACAACCCTGGTCCAGAGCTACATAGATACCATGCTCCAAAACGGCTTCAACTTTGAGTGCTTCATCGAGGGGGGCCGGTCGCGGACGGGCAAGTTACTTCCTCCCAAGTTTGGGATCCTAAGCTTCGTCCTGGACAGCCTACTGTCTGGGCGGGTCGAGGATGCCATTATATGTCCCGTCAGCACCCAGTACGATAAAGTGATTGAAACAGAAGGATACGTCACGGAGTTACTCGGCGTTCCGAAGAAGAAGGAGAACCTGGCCGACTTCCTCACCGATGGCTCGTCTGCGCTGTCTCTGCGCCTGGGCCGGGTAGACGTTCGGTTCCACGAGCCTTGGAGTCTCCGTGAATACATTAATGACCATTTCACGCGGGTAGGGGTGAAGCCCGATGAGTTCAAGCTCGAGGTCAAGACTGCCGTGAACTCAGCCATACGCCAGAAGCTTCTGCGGTCGCTCGGTTACAGGGTCCTCTCTGACATCAACGAGGTCTCCGTCGTGATGCCCACAGCGCTCATTGGCACCGTCCTGCTCACCCTCCGCGGACGAGGCGTCGGCAAAGGGGAGCTAATCCGCCGCGTCGACTGGTTGACGTGTCGCGTCCGGGCAAAGGGCGGCCGGGTGGCGCACTTTGGCAACGCCCCGCTGTCCGATATTGTCGACAGGGGGCTCGACGTGTTGGGGAAGGACCTCGTGGGGGTCGTGGAGGGCTTGCCTGAGCCTACCTACTACGCAGTCGACAGGTTCCAGCTCTCCTTCTACCGAAACATGACGATCCACCTCTTCGTTTCCGAGGCCATCGTCAGCGCCGCCATGTACACTAGGATAAAGAGAGGCGGGGGCCCGGCGATACAGGACATTGCGTATAAGGAGCTGTTTGACCAGGTCCTCTTCCTCTCCACTCTCTTCCGCGGCGAGTTCATATTCCACGGCGAGGGCATCACCGTCAATCTAGAGAAGACTCTGCTGGGGCTCGAAGCGGACAACGTCATCCGACTGGGGCGCGACGAAAGCGGTGCTATTGTGAAGGTTGGCCTGTCGGATGACGAGCGCCGGGCGGGGCGTGAGAACTATGACTTCTACTGCTTCTTGATCTGGCCGTTCATCGAGGCGAGTTGGCTATCGGCTGTTTCCCTCCTCGGCTTGTCACCCGCTGCCGACGAGAAGGAAGATGTCTGGATAGAAGTGGCCAAGGCGCAGAACAGTGCTCAACTGGTAGGCAATCACCCCTCACTTCCCCCCAAACTCCTTACTCTTCGCCGGGAGGAAGAATATTCGTGCTAATTAATAAACCCGGGCAGCTCGGCAAAACACTCTACCACCAAGGCGACCTCAGCTATTTCGAGGCCGTCAACAAGGAAACTATAAAGAACTCCTTCCGGCGGTTCGAGGAGGAGGGCATCCTACAGGTCGTCTCCTCCAAGAACCCAAAGGTGCCCCCGCGCCTCCGCCTCTCGCCGGAGTGGCGCCTCCCGCGCGATCCGGCCGACGGCTCCCTCCTCGCGTCGGGTCCCCTCTGGGACTTCACGGAGAAGATCGCCTCGTGCAGGCGTGAGGGGAAGAACAGGAGGGACGGGGCGACGGTCAGCACCAGGGTACTGGGGCTGGCGGACACGCTGGGGAGGGAGCTTCTGGAGGAGGCGAAGGACGACAAGAAGAATGTGCCGCATCGGCTAAGCGAGGAGGATGCCAAGGTGTTTGAGAAGAAGGCGAAGGGGGCGAAGCCGAGGAGGTCGTTGGCGGTGAGGGCCAACCTGTAGATTTATGCATATCATGGGGCGAGAGAGGCTATTACAGTTCTGGAATTGTAGCATTAATTTGCATTTTGAGCGGTTACGTCTTCTCATCCTCTCAGTATCGCGATGGAACGCCGGCTGTTCAGGCATCGGTATCTTGGTATCGTATTAATACATAGTTCTAATATCCGTTGGTTCTAAATCTCAACTTTCTGCCCTCGGCGGAAGGATCACGTTGTCAATCAGGCGCACGGGAGGACCCCCGATGTGTCCCAGATCCTCGCCCTCGAAGGGCTCCTCGACGGGAAGCATTTTCACGGCGGTGCTCAGAATGGCGCCCTTGGCAGGATCCACAGCGTCCACCTCGAGCATAGTGTCCGGGTCGGCGACTGAGACGTAGTCCACCTCGTAGAGCGCCCTCTTGCTGGGCGGCAGCGCCTTCTGCTCCGCCAATACCCCATCCAGCACGGTATTCACCTCCCCGAGGAGTGCCTCCCCGCTGGTCTGGCCCGAGGCATAGGCCCCCTCGGCAGCGCGTAGAGCCCTGTGGATCACGGGCGCCAAGGCCCGCCTCCGCGCCCCCAGGTACACATTCCTCGAGCTCTGCGCCAGGCCAT